GACGTTTACTGGTGCTCTCTGTATGTAAAGGTATCGTGTGTTCGCATCCTGGATGTAGAGCATTTTAGTGCGTCTGATGATATGGAGAGCTGTCTAATCGATAACAAAGATTGAGTTAAAACGCTAAGCTAGATGACGCCTTCTAGGGTATCGGAACTGATTTTGAGGTAGTTAGAGGAGGACAATATTCACGCTCCATACACTCCATTTTAAAACTCGTGTTCTGAAAATCAAGATCCGAATAAATGTGAATATACCAAGACCTAGGAGCCACAATTTCGCACCCGGTAGCAGCGGCAACTACTGTGTTAATATAAGTCAGTACACACGGACTCTAGGAATTCGTGCATCACTAAAAGAGCGGATGTATAACGTCATCCGCTCTCCGTCTGAAGGACATCCATCCACCGTGTTATAACTCTAATCCCCGACCTAATCCACAATCCTAGTCTTAATTTATACCATAACATTTAATTTCAATATGGACTCGACTCCTAATCCTAAAGTTAAGGCCGCTTAAACAGGACTCTTGAGCAAGAACCGTGCGGCTTTGCGCCCAATTCCCAGGAAAATATGGCTTGGAATTGAAATGAGGGTTAAGGTTAATTTTGTGGTTATGTTTAAGGTTGGAGTTAGAGTCAGGATAATGCTAGGGATTGAGGGTTATCTTGGCATTACTTGTAAGGTTTATGTGAAACTAGGGTTGGTGTTATGGTTACCGTTTAATTTTATGTAAGGGTTAGTGTGAGGGTCACGAGACAGTACTATGTATCCCTCCTGAAACACCTTACAACGTCACCTCTTTTAAGTGAACGGAATGTTCCTGTTCATGTGACCAGTTTAGTTATGCAAACAAGTCATTCTCCCTATCCCAACTATACTTTTTCCCTTATCCCCGCATCAATCTTAAAACCAATTCTAGCCTTTACACACGTTCACTGGTATTTATGGCACAGATAACTGTACTACGTGCCCTTCCTAATCCCGTACCTGTTGTGAAGTTGATTTCCATCAGCGACCCCTACGGAATCGAACTCTCATACCTGCAGATGTTTTCACATTTCACATTGTCGACGTTGCCTTTGTTGGTAAGTTAATTTTGAATATATCATTAGCCATTTTGTTGATGCTGATTGGGCATGAGAGCGAGCTCCAAGTCACAGCGGGGCGAGTAAGTCCTGTAAAAGTCCACTGAGCGCCTATCTATAATTGTGTATATTTTCGATCGAAACCGGCAAGGCAACGAGCCCCTGGAAAAATG